TGTTTACAACACTGCACGGCTACTAGATGTCTTCTGAATGTCTCAATGGTGGTCAACTCATATTAAGTCAATCTTCAAATACAAGTTACTGTCAGTGCGATCCATGTTTCCAGGGTATAAACTGTGCAGACCGGATTCCAAACAAACAGCAAGTACAATTTAACACGGATTATGTCTATCTAATTATATATTTAACTGAACTATGTTTATCACTTTTGAATAATCTGCTTAGTCTTGAAGTATTCTTAGGCTGTGAACGTGTACGTCGTACCAACATCGGTGTCTATCTCATTCTTTATTCAATTATATCTATTGCCGGAAGTGTATTGCTTGTAGTTAATCAATCTGTGCAGTATTTCAAACCATATCCTTTCGCAAATAATGAACAACTGTCTGAAACATTTCATTGTTTTCTTAAAAAGAGTGGAGATCAAGTAACATTGTTTCTGTGTCTTTCCCTAAGTGCTCTCGTTGCATTTGAACGTGGCCTCATCATCTGCTTTAATTTTAAAATGAATGCGACACGGTGGCGATTAGTCGTTACATTACTACTTGTCTTTTCTTTTACTGCTATAACTAGCATAACAATGCTGATCTACCGATGTGAACGGAATGTACCGCATAAAACACCAAGGACACGCATAACATCACGATGGTTTTATACGGCCACCTTTCTTGCAGGTCTCATCTATGTACTAGGAACTTTACTCGTTCTGATTAATTTTGCCCTATATATATATCACCATAGTACTGCTCAGGAGTCAAGGAAAAAAATATTTTTCAAACTGCTGAGAAAACGTTTGTTTATATTCATCCCACCAATCACCTATCTTCTCTGTATCATTCCATATCAAATATGGTATCCAGTGAGACCTGTTCAACAGACGTATTTGCACTGTGGAATTTCTACTGTGGAATACATTTTTAAAGTTATAGTACAAGCACTGTCAGGTGTTCCGACTGTTATTACCTGGCTTATTTTCGTGTATCCATCAAATGTTTATATGACTGAATTTTATACGAACACCTGGTCAGGAAGGCGTATAAGGCAAATATTGGATCCCGAACATTTCTTAAAAAAAACTTGGCGAAAGAAGAAAATGGACGAAGAAAACATTTTTACTGTGCTGTACTTCGAAGAAATAGGATATTACCCGTGAACTGCAGAGGTAGTCATTGTATGTCAAGCGAGAAAAAGTGACTCTTTCTCAAAGCATTTTTTTATGTAGAATAAACTAACGATCGCAGGTGTAGATGAGAGTCAGTATGGGTATGGGCGGGTGGGTGTCTGTATGGTATGGATTAAAAATAAATGAACTATCTTCCGTCATACCTTGAATATTTTTAGGAACTCTGTAGGAATCGGGTGTTGGTGAGGGTGAGGATGTGGGTGGGGTGAGGATGTGGGTGGCGTGTGGATGTGAGGGTGTGTGGGCGTGGGTGTGAGAAAGAGAAGATAAAAACTCACACCCACACCCACACCCCACCCTCCAACAATAACGAGTTTAACACAAAAATGATTTGGTGTTTTCTCCACATGATAATAAAAGCAATTAGACAGGATGTGATTGATTTTAGACAGAATAGCAGATTCGACCAACTGCTCTTCATGGGTCAAATCTTCCCATAGGTGTAAAATGTCATTCGCCGCAAATTGTCTCAATTCAATCGTTGCATTGACCAACTGCTCAAGTTTACTTTCATCTGTAATATGTCCCTCAAGTCTCACAAAGTACAACATTTTCCAGCTTTTGATATCATCAACATTGCCGGAATATTTTCCATAGCATGAAAGATACAAGTCTCGCCAGAATATTTCTTGATGCATGATTGTGTACCATCGTTTACACACAAATTGCATTGAGTAAAAATCAGACGTATCGGTGAGATAGTGGAGAATTCGTTGTGAAGCAATTTCGGGAATGTTTGGAAACAATCGATGATTGTCAATTTCGAATTTAAGACGTGCAGGAGGAAATACAAATTGTTTTTTGAATTTTTCGTTTTGAATAGCAATCCAATTATCGATCACATAATTAGCTAGCCAGAGTGGACCTTGAGTACATATGTGTTCCAATCCAATGAGAATATCACCAGCAATAGACATTGACATTGCTACATGGTAGATAGATGATAACTGTTTGTCTTTGGTCAGTTGGAAAAATTCATCTCGATTAAAAGTTATTCTTTTCTGAGCATCGATTGCAGCCAAAACAAATTCATCTATATTCTGAGGACGTTTTCCATGCAATTTCTCATTATAACGAACAAACAAGTCACACAATTTTGTATCATCATCGGTAAGAGGATCAGCGACCGTAAGAAGTTGACGATAGTCTCTCGCTGTTTCTCCCACTGATTTGAATAGTAGAGAATATACTTTTTCAATATTAGTAGAAGCTTGGCGGAACTCGTTGAAAAACGACTTTTTTCTCTCGTCCATGACATCCAGCTTGGCCTTTCGTCAATCCATTTTTCCGCATTATCTAATAAATCTGCAGTGTAGGATATTGATGACCGTGGAATGGCAAAATCATATTTCGACTTATTGGACAGAACACAATTAACGTACAAGTCTAAATCATTTGTCGTGGGAATAATCATCTCAATACTAATAATTGTTTTTTCTTGAAAGCGTAACCATTCCAATAGAATATTAGAAGAAATGATGACGTCCCAATCTACATCATTGTCGTCTGATGTTCCCCGAAAATTGGGCAAGAAACGACGGGCAGCGCGAGAACCGGTTAAAATACCGTTATGTGACTGAAAGACGAGTGAATCGTGCTCGAGAATGGATATGATCTCAGGTAGATATGATGTGCGACGAATTTCACAACGTGTGGATAATGTCAACATAGTGGTTATTGCTTCTGCAGATCTGCAGGAAACCAATAATTATCTAAAATGAAGTTTCACACCCAATAAAGAATCTTCTCTAACTCTCCTCTTGAAGCATTAAATAAAGAAACAAGGCTGAATAATACCACGAATACATCGATGACTAATAGAAGCTCGTCTTGATTTGAGTGTAACTCATAAACATGAGTCTAACAGACAACTTACTTCCTCGCAGATTGTTTGCTTTGATTAGTCATACGAAGAACGACAGAAGAAGTTGTGTAATTTTGCGTTGGAAGAAAAAAACACTACACAGAATAGTTAGTGAATACGTTGTTATCTCTTTATGGCTTGTTGAAGGTTGACATGACATCATTCTTTTGAAGTTGAATTTTAATTTTCAATAGAAGAAAGAAGACGTTTTGGTGACTTTCATTCGTTTTTTTTTCACATCAAGATTTGACGCTTGCTATTAGTCGAATTCCATCACATTCTGAAATGGGATTGGACGGAAATTTATTGAATCATGGGATGTAGGATAGGATGGAACAGATACCTGTCTGACGCGGAATAACATAGGAGCTGTATCTATGAAAGTTGAATTCCATATCAAAGTTCATGCAAAATCAATTGCATGGTGCCCCTACAGAATCTGACAAAAACACTGATGTGCGGTCGTTTCCTTCGAATCATTTACAGTTGCATCTCGAGCCTTCTTGCAAAAGCATCAGGCGGTTTGAGGAAGCGTTCGATTCTAGAAGCTTAAGTGATGACTACGACGACGAACAACACTGGATTGACTGGTACCTGTGAACTCGATGTGACTGAGAGATAAACTAGACACTAAATCCGAATCGAGTAGAAATCTCTCTATTCGACTTGCTAGAAATCTCATTATTTAATCTCTAACAGAAGAAATTACTTTCCCATGCGCGTGAACAATAGCACTTCTGCATTATACGCTTTTATAAACGGTACTGATTCGTTATGGTCTGCATCACTAGTTTAATCCTAGCTTGTGTTTTCTATAGAAGAATTGCTTCGGTTCTTCTTTGTCAACCACTGATGTGGGTGTGGGCGTGAATCTTCATCTCAGCCACACTCACACCAACCCACCCACAACCCCACATCCGGCACATTAATAGCTGAGAGTGCCATGAAACAATACTTCATGGCACCCTCAGCTATGGAGATGCCCTTCAAATGTGGATCAAGATTTCGCGACACTCTCAGTTATTGATATGACCTTTGGCGGCTGTATCAAGATTCCGCCTTCACCCTCAGCTATTGAAATGCTTTGTGAGGCTTGTATCAAGCGAAAAAAATACACATTATCTCTTAAACTATTGGTCTGGCCCCCTTGGGAATACTCTTAATGAACTTCCCAGAGCCTAGTTAGTCGAATTAGATCAATAGGAGAGGAAGTCGATAAGTTTATTTGTCCTGACTGATCTCTTATAACTGCCGAGAAATCAAAGAAAAAAGATCAAAAGTCTATCGAACTATCAAACGAATATTCAATAAAAGTAATAAAAAATCATTTTACTACAATATGTCTATGATGATAAACGAAAGATTTTATGTTTGTTTAACTATTATTATTCGATTACACAGAACGTTTTTTGCCTTTTATATATATATGTATAACGATACTTTCAGTGTCAATAAAAATTTTTATAAGTACTATCACAAAGATGCATATCTTTTTGTGTTAGATTACAAGTATATCTTTGTCACGTATTGAAGTGAATACGTAAATGCAAAGTTTATTATGGAAAACTAAAAGAATATATATCTATCACAATAGACAACGATATTGCGTAGTAGATAACATTATTACGTAATAGACAACAAGATCAAGGTTAAATATAACGTTTGTTTGACCTTGATCAACAATAACGAATATAAGTTGAGATCAAGAGAAGATCACGAAAAGATGAAAGAACGAAAAGGAAAAATAACACACACAAGTATATGTATACGTTTGCCGTATTGCAAAGACAGAACGAAAAGAAAGGAAACACAAAAAGAATAATGGTCAATGTCAATACATTACAATCTTCTGTCAATAAACATTATTTTTTTTTCATGTTCTATTCTGTTTGAGACAAAAACACGCTGTTCTGTTACACGTGTACATATCGTTGATTTTTAATGATATGGAACAGATAAAACGTAAAAGACAAAATGATTTTACTGACAATAATAAAAAAAAGAAATTAATATTCAATTCACACAGGTCAGTGAAAAGAAAATATTTTTTTTAATAATTTTAATTTTTATCCTTTATTTTATAAAGAGATTCTATCACCCATCTTGAAGATCTTTCTAACGAACTTTTTTATGAAATTTTTGATTATCTGGATATTTATGATGTATATGAAGCTTTTTCTAAAGTTAATACTCGATTTGAAAATCTTTTGAATGATCCAACTCTTCCTATTCGAATCAGTTTATCGTTTATATCGAAATCAAAATTTGAATGTTATAACACAAATATTATCATTCCTTTTCAATATCGAATAACATTACTTCATCTATTAAATCCATTGATTATCGAACGTCTCTTTTCACCGATTTCTATTCTATTAAATTTTATTCGACTTGAAAATCTTCATCTTGGTAATATTGAATCAAAATATTTTGAAGAACTTCTTATTCATTTAATTTCTTTACCTTTTCTTTATTCATTAATTGTTAATTGTACAGATAATGTTCAAAATAAAAATGTTTTTTATCATCAAATATTCCGTTTACCCGTCTTGAAATATTGTAAATTATCATTGACAGGAAATTCTCAATCTAATTCATTATCTATGGCAACTATAGAATTTAGTCCTATTGAATATTTTATTATTAATCAACTTTATGTCGATGAACTTTATGCATTTTTATCATATATTCCTCAAATTCGTCGTTTATCAATTCGAAATTTATATAAATCTTCTAAAAAATCAATAAGAGAATTCTATCCAATTGTATTAAATCATTTGACACAGGTTTCTTTGAATATGATAGATGTTACGTTTGATGAATTTCAATTCATAATCAAAAACTTATTTAATCAAATTGAAATATTATATATTTCAACAAAGAATAATCTAGCATATATTGATGCCAATCAATGGCAAGAATTAATTCTATTTCATTTACCAAATCTACGAATCTTTGATATTCAGCATAAATATTCTTTTAACAAAACCAATTATTTACTTTATGATAATCTAGTTGATAAATTCAATTCGTTATTTTGGTTCGAACGAAAATGGTTTTTTGAACATTATATCTATCATAATCAGAATGATGATCATGCTATTTTCTTTTCAACGAATCCATATAGGTATGAATAGATTCACTTATTTATTATAATAATTTTATTTTTAAGACGAAAACAACAACTATTATGTGAAGAAACAAATGAAAACATAAATAGAAATGATGAAAAAAGTCATATACATTCAGTTAATCATCTTCTAATTCAAACTAAAAAAGCGGTGATTAATTGTAAAAATTATTTTCCAAATGTAACTGAAATTACTTTATTCCACAACTTTATTTATGAAAGTAAAAATTCTTTATCAAACCAATTCAAGAAAATCTTTCCATTGAAACAATTGACGAAATTAGCTATTCATTCAAATCTTTCTTGTTTTTCAAAAATGATCGAATTATTACGTTATATACCTTATATTCATACATTAAACATGGAACTATTGTCATTTGATGATCCACAAAGATCATATCATCTTACAAATTCATATGTACTTCAACAAAATGAAACTTTTAGATTGGTTTCAAAAATAAATAATATTCAAAGTCTGACTATTATATCATCCTATGAAATGGAATTAGTACAATTTTTTGTTAATTTATGTCCACGACTGAAACACCTTACAATCAATAGATTTGGATGGTGGCGCCTTGGACAATTATTACAATTTTTATTATCAAAAACTAATAAGAACACTTGTCATTTAGTTTCATTATGCATTGAAAATGTATCTGACAATGATATCAACGTAATAAGAAATTTTATCGAAGCACAGAAAGACGTAAATATTGATTTGGCCAAAGTAAGAAATTTCTCGGCTGATGATAGATATGTACAGTACAGCATATATTTATGGTGGTAACATTTCTTGTTAGTAAAACATGTCCTTCTCTAATATTTTTTTATTTTTGAAATAAATAAGAAAATTATTATTATTATTATTATTATTATATTTTATAGCTTTTTGTTAAATAATTTGACATTCATGAAAAAAATTATAGTGATAAAATGCACTTCATAGAAAGTATGTGAGTATGACTGTAGCCATTTGTTTATGTTACTTCTAAAATAAAAGTGTTGGATTCGAAAAGTTCAATCCGCGCCAAAACTCTATCAAATTTGTCTTAACAAAAGAAAAAAGCATCATACTCGCGAAAACAAAGTGAATATGAAATAAGATGTTTTTCGTTATTAGAAAAGATTAAATTGAAAAAATATTTTGTTTAGGGACATACTCCTGTTAGTGTTGTGAGAGATGCTCCATCCTAAGATCAAGATCGACACTCTCCGAATTAACTTGAGCAATTATTCTTTTAAAATCAAACAACAAAAAGTTAATCTTTCATTTTACACCTGATGATATGATCAGACACGGTACGAAAGCGTGAATCTTCCCTCTTTTTATTTCTGTTTGAAATAAATATTTAATAAAATGTTATTTACAGCAGTTATCTCGTTTCTTTTCTGTTATTTATTTCCTACTGCTCTCCCCTCTCGACCTGTATTCAATTGTACTCGACTAAAAAGTTATCAATCAAAGGTGAACCAAGGACTCGAATGCAATCTAGCACCGTTTTTTTTTTATCCTAAAACTTTTTGTTTGTATCTTCAACTGATCTACCATAATTGAATAAATCTGTTTAACTACTACATTATAAAAAACGTTGAATACATGAACAATATAATATTTTTTTATTCTTGCTTAACGTAAGACTTCTTTTCAACACTCTTCTCTGCTCTTCATATCCTTTGCTGAATATTAAGTATATAATTTTTTTTATTTTGCTTTAATCGTGTTTTCCTGGGAGCAATGCAAATTTTTTGTGGTAAAATTGTGCTTCATCAAATGTCTAATCAGTCAAAAAAGGAGATTATCAAATAAAGTCTTTATTGATGTCCTTTTAACAGGCGACAATATTAGTATGGACAAGCAGCATTGCAAAATAGTCTGGTCGATGGAAAAAAGCTATCCGATTTAAAAATGCTATGTTATATGAGTTGCAGAATATCACAATGATACAATGTCGAGGCAGTTATCTATTTTATTAATCTTCTCATATATCAAATGAAAATACCAAACATCGAAAATTACTGCAGTCAAATGAAAAAATGATTCGTATGACTAGAAGTAATGTTTGAAGTAGACAAAAAACTTGTGGCTTCACTATAAACATAGAAGAGAAAACGTCTCACTATCAGAGATACATACTTCGTTCCAGAACTAAAATTTGTTGCTTTAAAAAATCTTTAGTTATAGAGATAGACGTCTCGCATTGACGAAAATAAAATATGTGAATACATATGAGCCAGTGACAAAGAGAAAATGCTGATTTCATGCCTTTCGAATCTGTGGAATCACTTAGAATCTTATGGAGTTGATGCATATCTAATTCCATGTGATTCAAAGTGATTCTAGATATGCACCAGTATTGATTTCGATTCTATATGCCATCCAGTTTTATTTTATAAAGTTTCACCGAAAATGTTCAGAGTCGAAGAATGCAAATCTGACATTAGTTCCTCGAAGTTTTGAATCTAATTCTTTTAAGTAAAAATATTCCTTCCTAGCAACAATAAGTCGTTGTTTCCCTAAAAAAACATCTTTTTTATCGAGAAAGTGATGTTATTTTACTTGAAGAAGTTTCTTCATGAAAACAATCTTTTACAGAAAAAAGTTATTTTCATTGTTAAATAAGATTTTTTTTTTAGTGAAAATAATTCAACTTCAGATGAATGTCTAGAATACCCAATCTGGCTACACTGATACTTTTCCAAAAGAGTCGAATGGTTCTTAGCGATTCCTGAAGCAGCTAATTGATCTTACTTTAGAGTCAGTGAAGTCACGAAATCATGGAATCAGGTTTTTTTCTTCTCTCCCTTGAACAGTGCTCTTCCTCTCTAGAATGTCATTCATGCTGAAAAAATAATTCATCGTTTACAGTTGATTATTTCTTCTCTGTTGAAATCAGATCGTATAAATACCTATTGAAGTAAAAAACAGAAATTCAAACATCTACTAGTAGGAACCCAAGTAACAAATTCCAGTAAGTTATAATAATAGAAATAAAACTCAACATTTTTATGCCAGTATTATTTTAAATTCTGCTAGAAATTGATAGTGTGGAATTATTTAAATTTCTTTTTGACATAGTGTAAGGATCAACATTTCAACAGCAACATAATTCATTCCAAACAAAAGTTCGAGAATTTTAATAATTTATTAAACTATATTAGTACAATCTTTTACGTTTTGTAATCTGCAGTTATCTATCGATTACAATGAAAGTTCTGTTAGGAATTTTGTTTCGCCAACAGAGGTTTTATGCGAGTTCTACATCAAAAACAGAATTCCAATGAATTAATCATTTTCGAGATAATCTTTTTTATTTTGCTTCAGGTTAGTCGCACTCATACTTAAAGTTGATTATACATAAAAATTTCAAGAATAACAAATTCATTTATTTTTTTGAGTTTAAAAAAAGAAACTAATTTTTTTCCGAATCCTATTGAAACCTTCCAAACGATCGGATTAGTTTCATTCTTTATGCATTACTGTGTAGTTAGTTTTCTTATCTTCATATAGTTGAAAAATTTTTTATTTCTAAAAGTTTTCTCTAGTTCCAAACGATCTCTTTTGTTTTTATTAGATATATCATGCTTATCTGGTAATCTTCAACAATCACCAACAAAAGACACATTTTGTCTATTGACTACTATCTACAGTTTCTAACCTATCCATAATCGTTTTTCTAATACATTCTATCACTATTATCAAACTATTTCATTTTTCTTGTAGCTAATCAGAATACTTATACAGATTTACACAAGTTTCTACGGAAGTCTATTCATCTAAACATGAAGATTGATGATGATATGTTTTATTAATATGAATACATTGTGTCGAATAATATGTTGATGCACGTCATCGTAGAGTTGATAGGTTTTGACTTGAGCACCATTTTTCTGTTGAAAGTAAGCATTTATATCATTGATTCATTCAATGCCCAACTCTCTTTCCACAAATTGAATCTTTCGACATCTCGAGAAAGAATACTTTTGCATCACTACACTTTTCGATAAGAAATTTGATATTTGTAGATTATTCACTTGTAAAGATGATCTCATGAATCAAATTAATTATAACTATTTACTATGAAATTTTCTGAAGTAATATTAACTTTTTGAATATAGCAAAATAATTATTGTTAACGATTTAGTTGATTTTTGCTCTATAGAATGACATGGATTATGAGAAAATAAAATGAATTGATTGTTATGAAATTAATAGATGGAAATCTACTTATTTTTTCTTGCATCGGAATAAGTTTTGTTTTTCAATTCATAGATTTTCATACTCCTGAAGTCTTGCTTTTCCGTTTATAAAATCACAACATTCACACATACACTCACAGTTATGTATTAATCAGGTGCACTAAATTATATACTCTAGTTGTTAGGCATTCAATACTTTAGATATTCTAATGTCATGTTAAACAAGAAATTTTTTTCAAAAAAAAGATATATATATGAAGAGTATTACGTGAGATTGTAATGAATGGATATCAATAGTATCTAAGAATACCTAAAAAGTTCTTGTGTTTGTAGCTTTTGATGTATGTACATGAGTATATCAAAAAAAAAGTGATTTGTTATTTTTTTTTCCTTGCTATCATTTGCTTTTTTTGGTAACTTTTGAAGCTAAAATATGTTTCGATTTGATATCGTGTGCAATACCCGATATGTATAGATCATTCAAGCATATCGTTTTGTGCACAACGTGCGCATTTTGTTTGGATACATTTATAATAGTGTATTACACACTATAAAACAAGAATAGAGTCAAGCGAAGTTATCAAGAGAAAGAAACATATACAGGTGTCTTGTTGTACAGAAAAAAAAAGAATCATTAGGCTAAACAAGCAGACATCGATCATGTTTACAACATTGAGCTTAGTCAAGAACAAATCAATACAAAAATTTTTCAATATGCTAAATTCTTTTCATTTCATTACGGTGAGTCATTCTATTAGAAAACTTTCAAATGCAGAAACAAGCTTATTAAATAACACTCACATAATGTCAATTTAATGGACAGATTAGATACAATGATGACGATGAAAAGTTTCACAACTTGTAATACTATTTTATATCCAGTTAGACTAACACTCAAAAGTAATGCTAAAAAATTCTGCGATATTTTAACGAAAAAAAAACAATTGTAAAACTTGCATGTTTTTCATTTTTTACGTGAAAAATTTGATAGCTTATCACACCTAAATTGAACTCAAATATATTTAGAATGTTCAGTAGAGTACTTT